CACACACACACACACACACACACACACACACACACACACACACACACTTACTGCTGCACATTTTGAAATGGTTGCTCCGTGGTAGGTTGAGAAGCAGCCTCTGTGTCTGTGAGCCCTCTGTGCATTGTTTTCTGCTCCTCCTCTGTAAATGCAGATATGTGTGTGTGTCTAACAGCCAACCCTCTTTCTCTCCCTTTTGTTTCCAGGCATATCCATCGGCGTGCAGCCCATTCACCCAGCACTCATCCAGAGGCAGTATGGGTAAGTGAGCAGGAGTGGGCGCTTGTTGTGTTCTTTGCTGTGTGCGTGACCGCTGGCCTGTTTCTTTGACAAGCGGGGCCTCTGGAAGCTTCACGTCAGTTTCTGTGTCCACACGCAACTCACCAGTGCTCTATTAGCATACTGGGAGTTTTGATGGTTCGCATGTCGGCGGTAACAGAAGTGCGTTCCAGAGGATGAACGTGTGACTCAGTCGTTAACGTTTCGTCAGGAGCCTCTCGACTCGCGGACTTGCCCCAGCGAGCTCCGTCACCGAGAGGGGTTTCTAGAAACGGCTGTGCTGTAGAGACGACTTTCATACAGGAGCTATGCTTGGCTGAGCAGCTAATGAGCATGGTTTCACTGTTGTGATCAACCCCCCCCCACCACCACCACCACCACCACCACCACCACAGCTCTCAGATATCACGCTTCCAGCTACAGAGCAGGGCCGTTCATGTTTTACATGCCCGAACTTTAGATGGGTGGAAACGAACGAACCACCAGAGGTCAAGTTAAAAACCTAACGTTAGCGTTTCGTCCTCTGTTGACACTGTCCAAACTCTAACATTAACCAGCAAACAAGTCTATTAGTTGTTTATGAGGAGTAACTGGTACAAATTAAATTTTTATCGGTGGTTGGGGAGCCCAGACTCATTTTTGTTTTTGTTTTTTAAATAAAATGTTGGTTTGTCTAAGAAGTGATCAAACTGTTCCGTTATTTCCATTAAACAACTCTGACTTTTTATTAAATAACTTGTTAAACGTTGATGGGGGTTGTAGAGAGATTGTAGCGATCCGCCAATAAAAGTTTGATCAACATTAAAGGCCTCTCTCCTACACTCGGCTTAGTTAAAAAAAAAACTGAATTAAAGGTGACAAACATTTTGTGAGTGGCTCTTTAAAACAAACAATGGGACCTGTTGCTTTTCCTCTGAGTCCAAGAAGAGCAGGGGATGAAGGCCGTCGTCACTACGTTCATATGTCTGTGATGACATCACTACGTATGCACAAACTGATTTACAGCCTCGCCCAGTCTCTGGCCGAACCACACGACTAATCGTTCAGAAGACTGGGTTCTTTGAACGGCTCTGAGAGGAACACATCCTCTAGATCAGGGGTGTCAAACTCATTTACAAAAGGGGCTGAAATTAAAACGTTTTTTCAAACTTTCAGAATTAACTCAAGTCCGATACCAACATCTTTTCTTGGTTGCAGGTTCCTCAACAGTTTGGTCTCATTTGACGTTCTCTGTTGCACTTTTGACATTATAATCAAAGATATTCAAGGGATGTATATCTTCGTGGGGCCCAGATAAGATGTTGAGGAGAGCCACATGTGGCCCCCGGGCCTGGAGTTTGACACAAGTGCTCTAGATCAGCTCCCTCCAGAGAACCATGGAGCCCATCTCCAGCCTCAATGCAAATCTGAATCGTGGGCTCCACGTGGGACATGTCCCATCACGTCCTAACAAGAGTACAGGGACCCCCCCCTCCCACCACCACCATAGTAAGATGGTGCCAAAGTTCTGAATGTCTTCCATGTGGCTCGCAGGGCTGCTGTGAGGCATGTGCCCAACAGGTGTTTGCTCGTATCACAACGTTTTACACCCCCACCCTTAATCTCCCATGACCACAGCTCCTGAGACACGGCGAGGCTCAGAGCACCTGTCCTCCCGTCTCCGAGTTCAGTGACTCAATCCTCACTAAGATGCAGAACGAACAAGTGTCCCCCCCCCTCCCGCCCCAACTCGCACACACCCATACATCCCCATAGGCCTGACATAAGCTGTGAGGGACTAGGCATGCAGCAGTGCTGCTGCAGCGTGTTCGTCTGGGCGTTACTGTGTGCGTTTGTTTTATAGCTGTGGTCAGCAGATGCCGGGGGGTGGGGGGGGTACTGAGGTCATGAGCCTTCGTTTTCTGAGTTGTCAGTGACCTTCAGTCTCATCTCGTCCTGCTTCACTTCCATCTTGCTGCTTTCCCACACACTTGTTTTTTTTTTTTATTCCCATTAATCATAATTTCTCTTATTAGCGCGCTGCCACTATCACCGAGTCACACGGAGACTGAAAACTGACACCCCCGTGAGACTCTGAGAGAGGCGGGGGATTAAAAGGGCGAATTGGCAGAAAGAGTGGGGGGGGTTTCTAGATGCAATGTTTAATGAGGCAGAGTGCTCCCTTGGAAACTCTCCTCTACAGGTGTCCAACACAACAGCAGCTCTTCAGGGGTGGGGGGAGCAACATGAAGCCCCTAAAGCTGTTGTTTCCACGCTCCTTGTTGCGTCGTGCGCTGGAAGGTCGTTTTTAATTTTCTGTGCAGAAATATTTAGCCGCTCCGTGTGATTTTTCACAGCAACTTGCCACATGACCCTGGACAAGTGATAAATACTCGGATGTTTTCTGGTAACGTTGTTTTGGCGTCTCGGCCGTCCGTCCTGCATGATGCTGTGTGGAGCCGTCCGTCAGCACACAACCAGCTGACCAAGGATTTTCCTCCTGTCATCCACCCCCCCCCCCCCCCCGTAGCCTCGGGGCTCGCTCTCGTCTCCAAATTGTTTTTGTCTCGGCCTTTTTTTTTTTTTTTGGATAAAAGCTGAATGTGCAGCTGACCTCCATGTCACTCGGCACCAAGAGGATCCGGGGCGTCTCGTCTCTTCATTTACACGAGGCCGGTTGTTCACTCTGTTGGCCGCATGCGTCCAAAACCCCACAACAGACGGGACACGTGTCACATGACGTGCAGAATCACCGTAGTCGTTTCTGAGGCGTGAACGGTTCAAGTCGAGGCCTCTGGCACTGCGAGGACAAACTTTAGCTCGTACTCGTGAACGGCGGCTGCTGTTTAAAGCTCTGCCTTTTTACTTTTGTTATTTCTTCCCATTTAGTTTGTTTCTCCTGCTTTGACTCATTGCTGGACGTGTATTTTAATGTTCCAGTCATCGTTTTTGTTTCTGTGCACATCAGTGGCGGGATGCTGCAGCTGGATCTTTAATCTTTACTGCTGACAATAATCACTTCTTCACCTCTTTGTGCATTGGATTGCCCTCCGTCTGCCAGCTGACCGGTGCGCCTACAGAGGACTGGATGATGTACCGGACTGAAGAGGGGCGAGGCAGGAAAATCTCTGCCCACCCACCCCTTTCCTCCCCCACTCCCTCAGCCAGCCTTTCCACAAGGTGCCAGTGACGGCTTGAGAGTGCAGTGCAGTGTGCCGTGATGGACTGGAGTGTCTTTTCTGTTGTCCTGTGTGTGTGATATGAACTGAAGAGGCTTGTTCTGATTGCCGTGTGACTCTCTTCCTATTATGGCATGGTTTGGGGTTTGCAGTGGCAACTGGTGTGCGGGTGGGGGGTAGAGGGGGCAGAAGTTTGGGAACGGTGTGCGTGATATATATGCTTCATGTTAAGTGTGATATCCGTTTATATTTTTTGTGCATGCGCTCAGCTTTTGGCTTGTTGGCTTTATCCTTGTAATCTTGAAGTAAATCACAGATCGTTAGGAACAAAAGATTTAAACTTCAATCTCTGAAGACTTACTGTGCAGCTGGAACACTCCAGATGTTTGTCTTCATCTCAGGCTGAGTCTCTTTGATTCTTTGGCTCCAAGTCTGTAATATGATATAATATAGTAATATATGAAGGGTTAAATGTCTCTTGATGTGAAACAACCTTGTGTGTGTGTGTGTGTGTGTGTGTGTGTGTGTGTGTGTGTGTGTGTTGGGGAAGAAAGGAACAAAGACGGGAAGTTTTCACTTTTCGATGACAAATCTAAGAGCTGAGGTTTCCATCTTGGGAAAGAAGTGATGGAAAAATGAACTGATTATTATTAAATAAATCTTCTTTTCTTTGTGTATGAAGTGGCAAACGCTGCACATCAACCCCCCCCCCCCCCCACACACACACACACACACACACGTAGCCCTCCCTCGTCAGCTACACCTGAGCTGACCCACGAGGCTTGGCACAGCCGTGATGAGCTCCCCAGCCACCATTACCCCCCCACCCCCTCAGCCATCATCATCATCACCTGTGAGATCGTATGCCAGAGCAGAGTTATAAAGCGAGAACTAGAAGAGCTACTTCTGCCCTCCCTCCGTGCACTTCCCTTTTTGTGTGCATGTGTGTTGAGGGGGTGAAGAACAGCAGCTGTTAAAACACTGCTGATGTCTGAGCTTAAAAACCTGCCAGTAACGGCTGACTGTCTTTTCACCCCCCCTTCCCTCTACTTGTTCCCTCTCGTCTAACGCAGGAGGCCCCACCCGACAGGTTTTGTAGGTTTCACTAACCGACAGAGATGGAGGACTGAGTCACCTTCGCCTCCTCAGCTTTCTGTTCTCTGGCTTGTTGTTGTAAATATAAAACAGGGTCACCTGTGTGAGACCGAACGCCCACAGGGTTTATATTCCCAACACGCACCCCCCTCCTGGGTGCCCTGGACTCTAACCCCTCCCCGTCTGCTTGTGTTTGTGTGCAGGTTGGCCCAGCCGTACATCTACCCTCAAGCGTTCGTGCAGCCCAGCCTGGTGCTGCCCACTCAGGTTTCGGCGTCGGTCAGCACCAGCCCGTACCTGGACTACAGCGCCTACGCCCAGTACGCTCACGCCGCCTTCGAGCAGCAGTACCCGTACGCCGCCTCCCCCGCCAGCTTCCTGAACTACAGCTACGCCACCAGCCCCACGGCCGCCGCCGGCCCGGCCGTCGCCGCCACGGCCCCCGCCACCGTGCACCCCAGCCTCCCCTCCGCCACCAGCCAGGCCCCAGCCTTTCTGCACTACGCCCCGCAGCAGCACATCCAGCCAGAGCGCATGCAGTGAGGTGGGGGGGCACTGTGGACGCAGGTGGAGGAGTTCTGGGAGTATTTGTTGCAGACTTTTGGACAGAGGATGGTGAAACTCCCTGCAAGGTTACACTGCTGTTATCAGCAGCAGAGTTCAGGAAAAAACGTGGGTGGGGGGGGGCATTATTGCACTATACGATCAGTGTGGGCTGTTTGCTCATTGGTAAATGGGGTGGGAGGACTGATGGGAAGCTAACCAGCGTACAGTATGTGGTCGCTTCCAAGGGCTTCCAGAAGATGACTCTTCACTTTTATCATCATCATCATTATTATTTTATTCTTGTATTAATGTCCTCGTTGTTTGTGCAGTTCTTGTGTTGACATGTGTTCAGCCCCGTCCCAGGAAGTCCTGCATGTCCCTGGTACATACCTGTCCTCCCAGTCTGAAGGATCTGGGCTGGATCCGATGGACCCTGCTGTTTTTAGGCACTGGGAGATTGCTGCGGGGGTGGTTATTAGTCCCAGTAGTTTGTTTGGTGACTGGGGCGGAAATCAGCAGGTTTCCCAGCACATCTGTTTGACGCAGAGCTCTGCCTCGTGAAGGAACCTCCAACGTTCAGCTCCACGCAGCTTCTTCAGCTTCTCTTATCTTGGGATAAGAGAAATTTCACCTCGAAGACCAAACGTCACATTTTCATAAGAGTTCAAGGACTGCACTTTTTTTTTTTTTATTATTCGTAAAATTCAAGAGGCCTTAATAAAAAGTGCAGGGAGCAGTTACTGACCTGTTTTAACAGTCTCATCAATACGACTGACCCGGGGCTGTGAGTTCACCTGCAGATAATCAGCAGGATGTGAGGAGCAGCAGCTGAGGACGTCGATGTCTGGAAGGTCTCCGACACTGAGCTCAACACCGGTGTTGTAGAGCTTTTTGTTTGTTTTTATGTTTTTTGTTTTTTCACTGACTGTCAGAAACTGTTGCCCTCTAAAGAACATCCATGTACAACTCCTTAAGATGTCAAAGTACATTTTCAATATTTATATGTAGGTATTTATAAAAGGTACTAAGTTAAAATGGCTTTTGTTGTTGTTCTCCTGACTGGTGTCATGGCGGTGATGTCTTTTTAACCTGCGGAGTCAAAGCTGCAGATACACAAGTGTTTTTTTGTTTGTTTGTTTTTTATCTTTTCTCCAGTCAGATTTTGGTAATATGCTCATTTGCATATCTTTGACAGGATTCATTGTTATTTCTTTAAAAATGTCTTTTACAGCCCGTTGAAACAAGCCATAAAAATAAACCTTTGTACATAAAGATGACTCCTGGTGTTGGTGTTTAAGTCACATTTGGACCGATCGGTCTCTTGTTTACCGTGTTCACTGATGCTGGAGTAACCCTGAGAGGTTACAGGGTGCAGATCTATATGTGCTGCTGCTTATCAAGGCTGAGCGTGCTATCAGATGTGCCACATGGGGGGGGGGGGGGGGG